CAGTCCTCCAGTCCTGAAGGATGCTTGCAGCCTGTCTCGCATTCCTCACCTCTCCTGAACACCTATCTACCCAAATCTGCATCTGTGTCTCCTGCTTCCCATCTTCCTAATATATCACACCCCACATACACACCACACCACACACACACACACACAGACACACACCACATACACACACATACCACACACACATCACACCACACACTCATACACACACCATACACCACATACACACACATACACATCACACCACACACACACAGCATATACTTACACATACACACACACACACAGACACACACACCACACACACACACACAGCATTTACTCACACAGACACACAACACACATAGCATATACTTACCTTGCACAGACCTAGAATAACTATGAACTCCAGGTTGTGAGAAGCCTGTCATCAACGCCTCGGTTGCACTAGAAGCTGCAGCTAGGTTTGGGGGTGGTTCTTCACAAAATATGCTACGCGTTTTGCACGTCTCTATGGAAAGAAATGACTGAAAGAATTAGTCGCCATATGCTGCCAAACCGGTGCCTCCCAACAGTGGGAAAAATGACCGATTAAAGAACTGAGAGGTTTCTGCTTCATTTGCTTGAGATTTATTCTACCTTCCATGCCCAGTGAAACCTCCACAGTCTGCAGCACTCACCCTCAATTCCACTCTCTCCCAGCTGGAAAAATCTCTCCATTCTTTCTCTGGAGCCTCCAAGTGCTCTGCACCTGACTTACAACATTCATTTAAATCCCCATTCCATTTGAATATTTTTGTATGCGGTCCCCTCGCTCCTCTCCCTCCCTTCCTTGCCCCCCTCCCCATTCGATTGAAACTCAAGAAGGCAGAGAATCTATCTCATGAGCTCTGCTGTCTCTCATAACCTCAATAGATCTGGCAATTGACACAGTGCTTGGCAGATCAGTGTGTCACATGCTGAAGAGCTGTGTTAAAAAAAAAAAAAACCAACTTAAAGGGGAAACTAAGTCAGAACTTCCAACCTGGATGTGGTATTGGAATCAGGCGGTCAGCAGCTGCAAAGAAAAACTGCCAGAGTCATGCCCTCCCTTGGCGTGGGTCTCTGAATCTCTGGCCTCTTTTTTTTACTCACAACCTAAAGAGCATCCACAGCCACCTACCATAATCCCATCTGAGAAGGAGGTGGAGAAGGAGGTGGCTTTGTCTAGGTCATGCCTTGGGCATCCACTCAGGGGCACCATGAGACGGGTGTCAAGCTAGTTAGGGTTGCCAGTGATTCACAAGCAGCTAAGAACTAAAGTTCATCTCTCCCCCAAGGAAAGGTCACTTTGCCTACTTGACTTGTCTTGGTTGACCTATGTAGCAAGACTTCTACTTTGCTGCCTCCTGGCTCGATCATTTTTCAATTACAATTTGTCCCTGCCGCTCTTGCCACGGGTCAGTGTGGGTCTCTTCCTGATCATAGATCCACATTTATGAAACTCTAATTAGGCATTTCCTTCACTGCTGACATAGCTCATCGGGACAGGTCTGCAGCCGTAAGCTAGGTATGAACCAGAAGACTGTTTGGATACCCAGTTAAGAGCTCATGCGTGCAGCTCTGCTCATCCCCCTGCTCCTCACATCTGTGGTAGCCTCTGTTTTGATTTGGGAACGCATGACCCGTACCTCTATTGTGATTCATTACAGAAATGAGACAAGATGTGTTCCTCCATAAACTTCTGGGATATTCCCTCCTTTTTTAAATTTTTTTTTTGTACTTAATGTGGCAACAATACATACAGGAACCTTTTCACAATCTTTGGGTAAAAGAATAAAGAGTTATAATCTTTAGCTGGAAAAATATCCCTGTATGTATCAAGAACCTTAAAATAACTATGATATTTGAGCCGTTTAATATCCTTTCAGGAATCTTTTCTAAGGATATGTTCAGAAATGCAGAAAAATATTTATGCCCAAGAAATTGATTATAGCACCATTTGTAATCATTGTTATAAAATTGATATGATGAGAGAATATATATATATATATATTTCCAATGGCATTTTCTATTTATACAAAAACCGTAAATATAAATGTATGTCCCCTTCTCCAAGGTTGAAAATGTGTTAAAGGCATATCCTTGAAGACTGCTTAGAGCCTTGGATATGCTAACGAGGGTGGGAAAGCCTCTTTACCTCCACCATGAGACTTAGCTCAGGACGCAGGCTCCCTGTATCATGAGAGGTGTCATAGCTGCCTATCAATGAAGCACAAGGCAACAAAACTATAGAAAAAGTCTCTAGGAAAAACTGCCATCCTGGGAAGGGCTCTGATGCTCTTAGGGTATGAAATGGTTCTTACTTCTCCTAGAAATATTTTCTTATAAAAAGGCTGAATGTTGAGAAATCGAGCCAGGGGACATTCCACTTCATCTTCAGCAGTCACAGGGTGTGATATGATTGGCTGAGACACATGGGAGCAACCTACATGTCCACAGAGAGGATGACTGCCATGAGGATAGTGATGGGACCCGGGACAGAGAGCTATTCCTGTTGGCTTACTTTCCACAGAAGAGGAAATGTGTGCGGGAATACTTCGCTGTCACCCTGGACCTAGCCAGAGCTTCCAGATACTTCTTGAAATACCTCCAGGATGTGAACCATTTTCTAGGTCTCTTCTTCTGCCTGGCTATCCTTGACTCCAGCTCCACACACAGGCTGCACTGAGATCCCTTGAGTTGGGAGCTTCATTCAGACACTCCCCTTCCAACAGCCCTAAACTCAGAGTTCCTGCTGTGTTCCACTACTATAACCTGGAGTTACCCCCTCTAGTCACAGGCTCACCCCAATATCTCTACATTCAGATATGGTCTCATCAATAAGGTGGGGAGGGTAAACTGAGTCAGGGACTCTCGCTGAATTCAACAAGACATTGGAGTGACCCTCATGAACCCTTCCTGCTTGAACCTCCTACTACAGTCCCTAAAATATTCATCAGGCTTTATCAGACTAATAGGCTTCAAAAGAAGTAATTTTCTGAGATATGAGAAGGGACAATATAAAAAGAACATTAAGGAAGAAATTCTTATTCCAAAATGAAAGGGAAAAGATCATTTAGCATCCCTGTTGGTGTTATCTATTCATGAGAAACAGCACATTTAATCCAGTGCGGGATGGAGGGAGGGCTTTGATGCCCTCACCTTGGGGTCCCCTTCATGCAGAACTCATCAGCCTCTCCTGCCATCTGTGGCAGGGGTGACGGAGAGAAAATGATACAGATGAGAGACACTTCAGAGGATTCCACGGGGTGCAGAGGAGACTGAACCCAAAGGAGAGCCCAGGCTTGCACAGAGGGAGGGGACCACTATTCTCCAGTCTGGCTGCCTTTTCTGTCTCCTGCCTTCCTCCCCACATTTTTGTTATAAATTGTACAGTGTGAGTCTGGTCTCTTGGGTCAGAAAATGTGAGTCCTCCTATATCAGTTACTTTTACATCACCGTAACCAAATGCCTAAGAGGAGGGGAGGGAACTACTTTTGCTCATTGTTTCGGAGATGTCAGTCCATCATAACAAAGAGGGAAAGGCAGAGCCAAGCCATCCTTGGTAGTCAAGAAACACAAGAAATGTGTAGAGTGAGATACAGTTCCAAGGACACCTTCCTAGTAACCTCTTCCTCCAACTACGTCCCACATACCTAGTTTTTGCCACCTCCTAGTAATATAGCCATATAATGAATCCATTAAGGGATTAATTAATTCATTAGGTCAGAGCCATATGGAGGCAATCATCCCTGGAAAGGTCCTCACAGACACGCCAGAGGTGTGGCTCGCTGATTCTCCATGGATTTCTCAGCCCAGTGAGGATGACAGTCAGAATCAACAGTCACACTACCCTCTCCCAACATTCTACAAGTGCCCTGAGAAAGAACAGGACCCTGAGTGTGGCAGGCTGTGAAGACATAGTTAAAAGTAACTAGTCCTCAGTACAGGTAAAAGGTTACATCTGTGGCTCTTCTCTGCTTCCCCGGGGTGCCCCAAGGTGAAGGAAGGCAGAATCCTGCTAAGAAGTCTGTCTCCCTTGGAATCTTTTCCTTGAATTAGAAGGGCCAGGCTACACTAGGTTCTCTGATGAGCCCTAAGCAGTGGGATTAGGGGCTCTGATTCCTCAGGGTTTTTGTTTCGTCCTCCTTCTCCAACTCTGAATTTGAACCGCTCTGCTGTTCTCTTCTTTCCCTGTCCTTTCTTCTCTCCTTGTGTATCTCGATCTCTAGTTTTACTTTCATTGCAGCACTATTCTTTGTACAGCTCCATCTATCCCAGAACTTAGAAAAATGCATTCACCTGCACCTTGTCCATTGAAGACACTCCTACCTGGCCATCAAAAATAGTGGCGATTACGTGAACAAGATGTTCTCTCTGCACATTGTCAAATGCAGTCTGTCTGCCCTCTGTGGCTAAAGGTTCTGCATGCATGAATCCACCCAAATGAGGAATGGCTCCCATATTGAATATAAGTAGCTCTTTCTTTCTTGTTGTTAGTCCCTAATCAATACAGCTGAGCAATTATTTGAAGAATTTACTCACATTGGGAATTTTAAGTAATCCTTAGTTTATTTAACGTGCCTAGGGGGATATGCATATGTTACCTGCAAAGGCAACATCATTTTATAAAAAAAAAAAAAAAAAAAAAAAAAAAAAAAAAAAAAAAAAAAAAAAAAAAAAAAAAAAAAAAAACCTTGAACATCTGCAGATTTTAAAGTCAGATTGGTTCCTGGAGCTGATTATGTGAAAGGGTGGCTGTACTAATGACAGGGTCCATTTGTAATTCTTCTTTTCATTGTGTTTGATAAAGAGCTTGATAACTTCAATGTGTGATATATGTCAAAATTATGTTAAGTCTTTGGGGTAATAATTTCTGATCCCAAAACATCTTCCTCTAATTTCAGAATGAGATTGTAAAGGGCTGTTTGATGTCGCGTTGTAGATCCAATTTTAAGTGTTACTTCTCTGTGTGTGTTCTTTCTCCCCATTAGATTTGTGACAAAGAGTGGCATTACTATGTCATCAATGTGGAGTTTCCTGTGGTCACCCTATACATGGATGGAGCAACATATGAACCATACCTGGTGACCAATGACTGGCCCATTCATCCATCTCATATAGCCATGCAACTTACTGTCGGCGCCTGTTGGCAAGGTAACCCTAAGAGGAGCCCTCTTTCAACTCTGTGTGCTGTCCATGGGAGATATTGTTAGAGAAAAAAGAAAAGATAACATGAAAGCTAGCTGGAATAAAAGTTGCTAGTTCTTTATTAACAAAACAGTACTTAGAAAAGTAAACATCAATCCAGACACTAGCTCTAAGTAACAATGGAACAGCAGGCTTGAGAATGGATTTTTATTTTAGCTCAACCAAGACAAGTTCATGGATGCCTCTGAGTTCCTAAGGCTGTTTGATTATTCTGGGATGTTAACTGGTTCCACACAGTGGCTGCATATATGAAGGGTTGAATGCAGAATCCCTGATCGAAATTGTCAATTGTCTCAAGGTTGCTTAGAAACCAAGGATCTCATTGTCACTCAAGTGTCCAAACCCTGGGCATCTACAAACCCAGGGCTATGAGAAGCAAATTGTCCACAAGCCATGCAGTCATAGGGGCCATTCTCAAGGTACAGTCAGTGCTCAGTGCTGACCCTTGCCTCAGCCCTGTCCCTCACCTCTTAGGACAGAGGCCCTTAGACAATGCCACTCATGGGAAGGTCCATTTCTTCTAGTCTGTTTCTGTTTCCTTGAGTACTGGGGATTCTTTGAAGCCCACTGAGGGCAACTAGAGGGGAAGGAGGATGCTCATAAGTAGGCAGATAGCACTCGGAGGTAAGACCCAACCTTGTGTTGATTGAATCTGTGAATGCCTCCGAGACTGGAATTAACCAGTCACCACTAAGTGGTGAGGGGAGAGGTGCTCTTAATGTAACCATCCCACAGTAGTTTCAAGAAATTGGTTCCCACATCTCACATGGACACCAAAGCCTTGCTCAAGCCCAGTTAAGATGGCATTGTTCCTACATATAACCCCACACAATAGGCGATGTTTTTCATCAGGACCATCAGCTCACCAATAAATGACATACAGACTTATTATTAATTATAAATGCTTAGCTGATAGCTGAGGCATATTATTAACTAGCTCTTACATCTTAAATTAACCCATACTTCTTATCAATAGTCTACCACATGGCAGTACCTTTTATCAGAATGACAAGTTCATCTTGCTTCTTCTCTCCACATCCTGGAGACCCCGCCCTTCTTCATCCCCGTGTTCTTTTTCCCTCTCTGTGAGTCTCACTGACCTCTTCCTGCCTAGATCTTGTCCATTATCTCTTTATTAAACCAGTGACAGCAACACATCTTCACAGTGTGCAAAAAGACTATTTCATAGCACCACACAATCTCCTGTATACTTTATGTTTTCTTGACTATTTATATCACATAATGCAAGATAAATACTCTACAAATAGTCCTTATACCACACTGTTTCGTCATTTTAAATGTCTGTAAGTATGAAGTGCAGGCACAAGTTTTAAAGACATATTTTTGAGCCACCTGAAGAACCTGTGGGTATCCGAGGCCAGCCTTCTAATAATTTGCTCTCTGTGGCTCAGTTGACACAGGAGTGACTTAGGGGAGTCACAGGTCTCTGTGAGCTGGATAAAGAGTGGTTTCGGAGCAGCTTCATGGGACAAATATGGAAAGAGGAGTATATAGTATACACTCTGAGCTTTGGGAAGCCAAAGCCGGGGAGTAGACACAGATCAGTGAGAATAAAAATAGGTGTTCCTGAGCTGAGGCTACCCATGTCATGTGTGACATGTTTCACCTAAGGGTGACAAGCCTTGTTTAACATTTTTACAGGACTTGTGAATGAAAGTCTTTTCATTATTGTAGGCTCCTAAAGGTGACCAGAAGATTGTACCTTATGGCAAGGATCCATGAAACTAACAGATAGATCAAGGCACTCATGTAGAGGTTGAACAGAACTTATTAATCATTGGACACAGCTGTGCTGAAGTGGGGGCCTTGGTGTAGCTCAGAGCCCCAGCCAGATACCAGCATGGGTATTGCTGAACATAGCCTGGAGAGAATCTATAAGAGAAGACACCCCTAGGTTCATCCTTCTACGAACTTCACCATGATTTCTTCCTGGTTGCCCTCAGAGATCTCATCTGGGTTCTTGCCATCCCAAGCCAGTTACAGCTACTGCTCCTCCAGTTATATGCTTGCCACCAGAGATGGGAAAACAATCCCACCATATAAAAAGTGATTCTGTAAATAATTAAGACCATCCCTGAAATAGGTAGAATAGGCTGGTGCCCTGCAGTGACAAGCATGCGCCAAGTCTCAGTTAATGAATACTTGTGTCTTGGTATTCTCTAGCAGTTGCTTCCCTGCTTTATCATCAGTGTGGCACCCAAGCAAGGACAGCAGCCACCTCGCTAAGTACAAAGAAAGAAAGCACAGCTAAGTGTGTACAAGTTCCAAGAACTTCTGCCTATCAGGGATACTGGTCACTTTAGTCCTCGTATTGCCCAGAGCAATCCGTCTGACCACAGCTAAGAGAGCAGGGAGGCGATGGTTGTGGTGTGTCTGGAAGGAAAACTAAAAGTATTTATGAATAGCATATATAAATACCACAGTCTATCCACCTTGTCAACTAACATTTGTTTGGCTTTCTCGATTAATATAATAATTAATTAATACATATTAGTCAGTATGTATTAATACATATACATGTACTTACATATATATGTATATATATTAATAGGACAAATAATTTGACATTACTACAACCACTATGCACTCTCCCAGTACACAAATGCACACACACACACATACACACACACACATATACAAACATACACACCATAAAGAACTTCTATTAGAAAAGATGTATTAGAAACATTCTAGCGGCCTTGGTCCATAGCAGTTATGAACGACCCTCTTGGCAGATGTGAGTGAGGGTGGAGAATATTCTTTGTGTCCTCTTTAAGCCTGTGCTTGCAGTTGTTCCCTTCACAGACCACATCTGAAGAGGGTGCTGTGAGTCTGTAAGTGCCTGCTCAAAAGGACATATGATTACAGTTTATTTGGAAGCTACTTCACCCAGGTATATGTTTATAATATAGTAGGAAGAATGAATGCTAAGTTGTTGCTCTGGTTTCAGCATGTTGCTATGATAAACTCCAAAAACAGCATAGAAGAGGAAAAAGTTCACTTCATTCCACACTTTGATAACTCACCCTTGAGAGAAGTCAGGGCAGGAACTCCAGGAAGGAAGCTGGAGTTAATAAACACGGACATATGCCACTTGCTGGCCCATGCCCAGCTCTCTCACCTGCCTAGGGATGGCGCCTCCCACAGGGGCCTAAACCTGCCCACATCAGTCATCAAGAGAAACACCCACAGACACGGCCACAGGCCAATCTGATCTGGGCAATTCCTCAGTTGAAGTTTTCTCTTTCTAGGTGACTGTTTTGTGTCCAGTTGACAATAAAAACTGACCAGGACAAACGCTCGTTTGGATTTTGGCTCATTTTCCAGGCATGTGCTAGGGATGCTCTTCCTTGGGTGGATGAGGTCTTGAGTCTTTCTCTGTCTACTCTACTGAGTGGCAGTTCCTAATATCAGTTCCTGGTGGGCACTGTGGGAGCTGATAGGTGCTGATGCAGGTGCTGCAACCTCTCTACTTCCTGTAACCTTATCATTGCAAAACACAAAAGCCTGTCCTCCTCTTGATAACCAGCTGTGTGTGCTTCCTTAATCCTCCAAGAAGCAACGAGAGAGAGAGAGAGAGAGAGAGAGAGAGAGAGAGAGAGAGAGAGAGAGATTTGGAGGCAGAAAACTCTGAGCTTGAGTTACATCCCAGCCTTACCCCTTGCTGGCTCCAGGGTCCTAACGCCACTGTGTCCCACAGAACCCTTCTCTAGAAGCTATCTGCTTTCATATTTTTTCTAGTTTCCACATGAGAGAAGATATGATAGTTATCTGTATCTGCCTGATTTTTCTTACCACGATCTCCAATTGTATCCATTTTCCTGCAAATAGCATGATTTCATTCAACATTGTCCTAAATAATACTCGTGTATCCATGTATGTGTGTGTATGTATATGTGTGTGTACACATATGTGTGTTTTCCTTATATTGTTTATCTGTTAATGGGTACCTAGGTAAATTATATATCTTAATTATTATAAGTAGTGCAAAAACAAGCATAGGTTTGTGGATATGTGTATTGACTTAAGCTTCTCCAGATATATATGTGCCAGAGTAGTATGGCTGAATTATAAAATTTAATTTGTTTGTCCCTGAAGGCTAAAGCTATTTGAGCAATTTTCATATATTTATTAGCCATTTGTAGTATTTCTTTTGAGTAGTATCTCTTCAGATCATTTGACAATTTTTGATGAAATTATTTGTTCTTTAGAGTTCTTTATATACTCTGGATATTGATCCCCTGTCAAATGGATAGTTAGCAAAGATTTTCTTTTGTGTGGGTTGTCTCTTCATTTTTTTCCTTCTGCTGTATAGAAGCTTCCTAATTTCATGTAATCTCATTTCATTGCCTGTGCCAATATTTCTGGTATGTTTTCTTTTAGAAGTTTCAGAGTTTTAAGCCTTTGATTCATTCTGGTTGATTTTTTTTTTAATACAGAATGAAGAATAATGGGAGTGTAGGTTTCATTTCCTACATGAAGGTGTCTTGTTTTCCCAGCACTCTTTGTTGAGCAGGCTGTCCTCTCTCAGTTTATACTCTTGCCACTTTACTGGGAATCCACTAGCTATAGGTGTCTGTATTTATTTCTAGGTCCTCTGTCCTGTTCCCTTTGTCCCCGTGTCTTGTTTCATACCAACTCCATGCCTCTGATAGGATTTGAACCAAGCACTGTGATGATGCTGGCATCATCTGTGCTCTCTTTGTCCTGAACTTCTAAATGCCAGTTTATCAAATAAGAGTAAAGCCTGCCTCTCAAGGTTCCACGAGGGATGTGTGTGCTTGGCATGTTTCATGTGAATGAATGTGTCACTTTAACATATGTTCTGTACTTCCTCCACCTTCCTTCGTTTCTTTCATCTAAATCCGACACAATAGACAATCTACAAGCGCTAGGCCTACTCTAACACCTGTGGCCCCAGCTCT